AGCCAACGAAAACAAAAACAATGTTAGATCTAAAAAGTTGTCTTAAAATCATACTTTGAGTAAGAAATATTTCCATCTTCATGCTTTGATTTATGGATGATTGTGAAATTGATTTTGACTTTGCATCTCATGAATTATTCTAAACTTGAAATGATTGATCATAAGCCTTAAAAAAATTATGCATGGTTGAACTTATTATATAGAACCATTTGATTTTTGTATGACTTTTGTTTGAGGGAAAATAAAATTTTAATTTGGGGAGAGTTGATAAGTGTCAAAATTACATATTTTTACATATATATTTAAAGGAAATTATTAACTTATCTAACATGTAAGCTTATAAAATTCGGAAATTCAGTGTAAATAGTGGATAAACTGAAAATTTAGCATATTTGTGAACACTATGATTATGTCAATCAAATGCAGGTTAAATAACCTTAGAATGATAAAATGATCACAAATGTTGAATAACAAATGGCTCATTGGGCGAGTTTATTGGGTTGTTAAGGGTATCTAGGAAATTACTTCCTGATGAAGAAATGGATTTTTCGTTGGGCGGGCTTACTAGGTTGTTAGGCAAAAGAAGAAGGTTCAAAAGCACCACTTGACTAAGTCAATTCATGGTGAAGCAAGCACATTCTTTCTTGGAAAAATTTAGGCGGTTCAAAACACACTTGGATAAGTTACTTCGTGGTGAAGCAAATACATTCTCACTAGGTGAAGAACATACTCCTTGGGAAAATTTAGGAGGTCAAGAGTCCATTTGAATGAGCTTGAAAAAAGTTGTTGGTGAAGTAAGGTATGCTCATTGCGAAAAAATGCCTTGAAAGACCTCTATAAATAGAGGTTACAAAATACTACTAGTTCTATTCATTCCACACTTAATAGAGTAGAAAACAGAGATAACAGGAAGAGAGAAATCTCAAAGGAGGAATTTAAGATCGAAGGTGGAGACTTCTTCCGGTCAGAGAGATTGATCGCTGATACTTTTTCATCTATTTCTTTATCATCTATGTAAAGCTACTATGAGTAAGAGTATACAAGTTATATTTTGTTGGGGATAGATTTAACACTCATGTGTCCCTTTTGATCACGGTATTATATATGTTTTAGTTATTCATTAGTATTGTCAATTATCCTCACTTTTAATGCATGTGGTAACCTAACTAATTATAACTTGATATATATGGTTTTGAAATGTGTAGTGTTATATTTGTTACGAACTTGGAGAGGGCGGGAGCTTTGTGTTCCCAGAAGGGGCGATGTAGCCAGGAGGTATCGCCTCGCCCCCAAGTACCTCCCTCTCCCCCACATATGAAAAAATGTGGGAAAAGACTTTTTTAGACATAGAGAAGTTAGTTCCAGTAGCTGGTCCACGACTCCCTAGGAAATAAGAATTCAATAATCCATCATGACTGAGTGGACGGTGATCCTTCCCAAGATATCCCAAGGCCCAAAAGCCTCTATAATTACGTCTCCCCTAATGGGAGAAAGGAAAAATCATAATTCATACGCTTATACATAAGCACCATACTAAGATACAAGGCCTCTCACCCCCACGTGAAAAGGTCCTCTAAGACCACCATAGAGGGATCCCCACTGTCGTGGGAAAGTCCTAACCACCCCAAGCTATTACAAGCCTTCTAAGGCCTCCGAGTACCCTTTCTCTTATGGGGTTAACATACACACTTGTACTTCTTTACCATTATAGTGGCATCCACCATGGAGCTCCAGTAAAACTAACCTGGGTCACACCTATTTCATTATTACTCCTTCCATCCTCCCTCTAAAGATGGATGACAAACGCTACGCTCTAATATAAACACCATTGTCAGAGGTTTCACTAGTGATGGTAGCTCTAGCTTCTCCCAAAGGAAATACGCAAGGAAGGTGCTTGCTGCAAATGTAATATCTTCTAGTTTCCCTAGGGAGGCACAAGGAGAGATAGGGGTTAACATCACTTTTTGGCTAGAGACTCCATAAGAATCAGCCCCCATGATAATGACCCCTCATAAGCACTATACAACATGGAAATTGGGATATCAAGCGAGTCTTAATAGATAGTGGTAGCTCTACTGACGTACTATTCTGGGACATTTTCTAAAAATTGCAACTCAATTAATCTTTATGACGTCAAAGTGTTTGGTGACTTGTTAATAGGATTATAAGCTGAACAAGTACAAGTAAGGGGACATGTTCCCCTGGAGACTATATGTGGCAGAGGCACAAACTCTAGGGTGATTAACGTCAACTACCTCATTATGGATACCTTGTCACCATATAACATCATCATGGGGAGGACCTGCCTTCGATGCACTAAGGGAGATTACTTCCACCCTATTTTTAGTCCTGAAGTACCCACTGCTTGAAGGGTGAGTCGATACAATTCTAGGAGACCATCAGGCCACTCAAGAATGTTAGTAGAGTAACCTAGTGATAGATATGGAATAAGTCATCCTTGTTGGCACCCCTTCTCTAAAGTTCCAAGTACATACCTAGATTATTCAGATCCCTGATTAGATGTAAACTTTGTAAGGCTCACGACCATATAGGACTTGAAGTAGGTCCAGATAGGCCATTTGGTGTACCAGGTGACAAAGATATGTACTTTGTTTACCAAGGAAGAAGAACACGAGCTAGTCGACCAACTCATTAAAAATGTCGACTCGTTCACATGAACTCCTTTGATATGCCTTGGATAGACACTAAGGTGGTGGTCCATCACCTCGCCATCCTCCCCTCTACCAAACATATAAATCTGGAAATGATATGAGGGTTGCCATTGACGAGGAAATTTGCAAGCTATATAAAGTCGAGTTCATTCCATAAACCAAATACCCTACTTGGCTAGCCAACATGGTTTTGGTCAGGAAAACAAACAATAAATAGTGCATGTGTGTGGACTTCACTGACCTATATGCCTCATATCCTAAGGAAGTGTAACCACAACCATACATTTATCACCTTATCAATGGATCCCCAGGCTACTACACATTGAGCTTTATGAATGCTTACTCGGGGTATAACCAGATTCATATGGATCCGTTAGACGCCCCTAAAACGACCTTTATGTTGAATCATGGAAACTACAATGTCATGCCCTTCGGTCTCAAGAACACTGGTGCCACCTACTAAAAAAATCATGGAAGTTGAGTTCTCCCGTTAGATATGGAAAAACCTAGAGGTCTATGTAGATAACATGATAGTGAAAACTATCCAAGGGCACAACCATGTGGAGGATTGAGAGGATGTCCTGCAGTCAGTCAGGAAATAAGACATGCACATGGATCCTGTCAAATTCTCTTTCAGAGTTCAAACTGTAAAATTCCTAGGGTTCATGTTGACAAAAAGGGGCATTAAGGCCAATTCCGAATAAATGTCATGAACTCATTTCCATGAGAAGCCCAATAGAAGTTTAGAGAAAGGAAATTATTTATTAAATCAAGGAGAGGAATTATAAAGTTTGTTACAAATGAATTTTAAGAATACTATTCTTATATTTGATCATTCGTCCCTAGGAAATGAATTCATATAAGCTACACAGTCTTCGTCCCATTCTCCTTCTGAATCATCCTTCTTCTTCTTATTGGGCTTCTTCATTAACCTCTCTGAAGTTCTTATCATAGGAATAACTTCAGCTGATGTAGATGCTCCTGCAGCTAAAAAGGTCAGAACCATTGAAGCCTCCTTCTACTTGATCTTATCTTCACTTACATGCTTCTTAAACAAATTTATTATCTCCTTCTAATAATCTCTCTTTTGTGACTTAAACTGCTTTAATTTCCCCATTTTCTTAGTAGGATGAGTTGAAAATGTTTACATATAATGTCTGTATTTATACAAGGTAACATTCAAATATGTATTAAAGATTGTCTTTGGAAGCTACTTTTGTTAAAATATGACCTTATCTATCTTGTAAGTTATGAAAACTAGTACTTGTCTTCTCTCCGGCCAATAAGGTTTTGAAAACTGTTTTGTGCTGTTATATTATGTACTCTCACTTCTGTTCAACCTTCTTAAAACATTTTTTCTTCTTTAAAAGTTTTTAAGTCTCTTAAAATATTTTTTAACTGATTGATGATTAGAAGACTCTACTAGTCTAGTGCATGTGTTAAAAGAATTTATATTACAAAGATAGATCCTAAGGCTGTTACATATTGAATACAAGAGAACCTAATAACTATCAATGGAGCTCTCTGGCTGGTTCATCATTTCATCCAGATAATCCAAATAGTCTTGGTCTCCCTCATATTTATAAGAAGGAAAATATTCCCTCGTGTTTTTTTGTATTACTTCAATGGCTTTGCTTCTGCTTTGAGTAGTAACTCCATCAGAAGTACCTATTAAGTCAACAACAAAGAAAACATGAGTTGGTGATTCCTTCTCGGCTTTTTGGTTCTTTTCCTTGGCTTGCTTCTTTTTCTTCACAGTCTTCTTGGTATCTCTTTCTACCTTCAATGATTTTCATCTACCTATGGTAATGGACTGTATAAACCTTGAAAAGAAAGATGATATGGTCAAGCTCTATGGCCTATGTTTTTATAGAGAAATTCTCCTTGGAAAATATCTTCAGAATCTTATGGCCATGCTTCTTGAGAATTGTTACTTATGCTACTCTATCAGATTCACTTTTTGACCATCTTGGAACTTGTAGTTTGAACGCTTATCCATAATCACATTTTATGTTTTTCACTAATTGCTCACTTTCTACCTTTTTCACTATCTTTTACTTTTTTTAGCCGAATTTTCTTATGTTTTTTTCTGCTTCAGATTTTTTCTCTCTTTTTTCTACTTATTAACTTTTTGTTGATGATAAAAGGGGGAGAAATATGAAAGTATTTAAAGAGTTTAATAAATCCATTGTTTATGTTTATATTAAGATCCTGAACTCAATTAAATAAACTTATGTTATGTACTTCAAGTTTATTCTAGGACCCTGAACCCAATTGAATAAATGTATGCTATGTGCTTAAAGTTTATTCTAATATCATGAAACCAATTGAATAAACTTATGTTATGTGCTTAAAGTTTTTTCTAAGATCCTGAACCAAATTTAATCATATTCGTTGCTTAATAATTGTTTTAAAATAAAAAGCTTAAAAACTTGGATAAAACTTAGGGGGTGATTACAAAACTCAACTTAGGTTTATTAGATTCTAAGAGAGCTTACAAACCTCAGACTCTGAAGTTGTCAAGTTACTTTGATGATTATTTAAAATAAATAAAATTTTAATAAATTTGATAGAACTTAGGGGGAGCTTATAAAACTCAACCTATGAACTGTTAGACTCAGAGAGAGCTTACAAACCTCAGGCTCTGATATTGTCAGGATACTAAAATTGGTTTAAATAATTTGGATAGGACTTAGGTGGAGCTTATAAACCTCAACCTATGGACTGTTAGACTCAGGGGAAGCTTACAAAACTCAGACTCTGATGTCAAATTATTGAAAATAACCAACCAATTGCTCTTAAATACTTATGTTTGTCATCATAAAAAAGTGGGATATTGTTGGAACAAAATATGTTCATGCTCCTTGAGTTCATACTCCTTGGGTTTTGATGATAACCAAAGTACTTAAATACAAATAGAGTATACTAATGTTTGATTAAGTGTGCAGGTTCATTGAGATAGTTATTAACTTAGTTCAGACCCAGTTAATTAGTATGTAAAGAAGAAACATGTAATTTAGATTCTAAAGGATTAGAATCTGGATTTCAAATAGAACATCAAGCGCCACATGATTTCAGCTTCTGATAGAATCACAATAGCTACATTGATTTTGCCTCTGATGATTCAAACAAAACTTCAAAGCGTTCTGCTGGAAACATAGTACAATTCTCTTCTGTCTGTATAACTGCCAGAATTATGGAGAAGGTCATCTATAAGCTTTTGGCGCAAGGCCCGAGGTTGTGTGACAGGATATCTTTAGTCTACTACAATATTCATATGGATTCCTTACTTGAGAAAGACACGATTGATAAAAGAAAAATAAAAATATTACTTAAAAGAAAAAGATCCTAAACTACTATAACGTCTCTCTCTTGGAAACTACTTCTTTAGCAAAGACACTTATGCGAGAAAGCTTTCAACTACTCTTTATGTTCCCTCTATATAAGGTGCTGAAGATTCAAAAGAAGCAACAACAATAATAACAAGAAAATTAACATACAACACATATGAACCAGAACGATCACGGTCTCTAAGCTATTGTATATAGTTGTTGTATTGCACATAAACTTGAGAGTTTCTTACACCTATATATCTCATAAATTTCAAAAATTAAGGTTTATGCGTGTGATACATTGTTAGTTATCAGGTATATCTTGTTGTAAATCCTAAATAATTTGTATAGTATTTGGAAAATTCTTAAACTGTGTTTAAGCAAGAAATTCTTAGACTATGTTTGAGAAAGAAAGTCTCAGGCTGGGTGTTTGAGGAGGGAAGTCTCTTTCTAGTTTGATTGAGCAAGAAGTACTGGACTGTGAGTTTGGGTAAGAAAGTCTCTTTCAGGTGTGATTGAGCAAGAAGTCCTGAACATTTGGTTTGGGAAAAGAAGTCTCTTTCTAGTGTGATTGAGCAAGGTAGGTTGTGACAGTTGGTTTAGGTAAGAAGTATTTTTCCATTGAGATTGAGCAGGAAGTCTTGGATGGGCGTGTCTAAGAAAATTGTAATTAAGTCTTGATTATAGTGAAAAGATCTTGCGTGACAAGGGGACTGGACTACTCTCGATATAGAGGAATCATGATAATCTTTGTGTATGATTTACTTACTGCTTATGCACTTTAAATATTTTGTTGCTGCATACTCTAGTTTAGAATCTGAGCTTGGTCATATTCAGAAGTTGTTGTTTTGAAAAAGCATAAGTTATCTAATACACAATTCAACCCCTCTTCTTGTGTGTTTTCTCACCTTCCCTAAGATCCCCATGTTATCCAAATCCTCGCTTGAGGGACTTAGATTTTCTTTCGGCAGGATCAAGACATAGAAATCTCGCCCAAGAGGCGCGTCTGAAGTCTTATCTAAGAGACTTAGTCCTAAGTCTTGTATGAGGGCTTGATAAGTCTCGCCCAAGAAAGTCAATTCCCCGCGTGAGGGATTTAATTTCTCATCAGTGGTGATTTAGGTAACTTCTCTTGAGGGGATAAGAGCCCCAGACTATCCAACTCCTCTCCTGAGAGACATAAAATTTCCTCAGGCCGGACCAAGACATATAAATCTCGCCCAAGAGGTGCGATTGAAGTCTTGCCTAAGAGAGTTAGTATTAAGTCTTGTCTGAGGGCTTGATTGAAGTCCTTCCCGAGAGGGTCAATACCGTTCTTAAGGGACTTACTGTCTCATCAGTAGGGCTTCAAATAACTTTGCTCGAGGGGATAAGAGCCCCAAGCTATCCAAGTCTTTTCCTAGGGGACTTAGAGTTTCCTCGGGCGAAACCAAGACATATAAATCTCTCCCAATAGGCACGACTCAAGTCTTGTCTAAGATACTTAGTCTTAAGTCTTGTCTGAGGACTTGATAAAAGTCTCATTCGAGAGGGTCAATGCCTCGCCTGAGGGGCTCAATGTCTAATTAGTCGGGCTTTACATAACTTTACTTGAGGGGCTTAGCTCCCCAGGTTATCCAATGTCACACCTGATGGACTTAATGCCTCATCAGTCAAGCCTTATAACTTTTCCTAAGAGCCCAAAGCCTAATCAATTTGGTTCATCACAAATTTCATTAGGGAACTTAAGGCCTCGTGATACTCCCTCGTTCTATGACCTAAAAACACTTTGTACTTTTTCAAAGCCTTCGTGCTTAAGAGACTGTATAATGTTATATTTATAAAGGATCTAGAGAGGGTGAGAGCTTTGTGTTCCCATGAGGTGAACGAGTCTAGGAGGTACCGCCTTGCCCCCTAAGTACCTCTCTCTCTCTCTCTCTCCTAGATATGGCAAAACGTGGGAAATTACGTTAGTTGGCAAAGAGAAGTCAGGGTCAGTAACTGGTTCACGACTCCCTAGAAAATAGAAAATTAACAGTCCATCATTGACTAATTAGGCGAGATCCTTCCCAAGAAAACCATAGACCCAAAGACCTTTATAAATACTTCTTCCCTAACGGGAGAAGTGGTAGATTCTAATTCACACACTTATATCTAAGCATCATACTAAGATACATAACTTCTCACCTCACGTGAGCAGGTCCTCTAAAAGCACTGTACATGACTTCCCGCAGCCTTGAGCAAGTTCTAACCACCACAAATTGTTATAAACCTACTAAGACTTCTGATTACTCTTGTCATTGAAAGGTAACATGCATACTTTTACTTTTTGAGCAATAAAAAATGCTATAAAAAATTACTTTTCATTATTAGATACATAATCTTCATCTGTTAAACACTAAAACTCAATAGATGAATTTAGATTTAACATTCACATACACTATTGACGATTTCTATGTTAACGAATTCTCTCTCACAACTATTCCCTCCGTTCCAAATTATAAGACATTTTGTATTTTAACTAATATCAAATCCGATCAAATTTTATAATATAGAATTTCTCTAAAACTCATGATTCATAGAAATAGTGAAATAATTAACTGAAATTTGCAACCAAAAGGTTTTCGAGTGAATTCCTTTTCTTTTTCCACTACAATTAGATCTTTGACAAATGATAACGAGACATGATCTACTTTTCATCATTTAACAGAAAATTATGATCTATTAATATTATTTTTGCTTCTCTTCCCTAATATAGCATTCTTAGAATCAATGTTTGTAGCATATTCTTTCTTCAATTTAAAATACATAGCACTCCCCAGATGATCCGTACACAAGTACAAACACATTTGTCAGACAAGTCATGCATGTTATGTTTTGCTCTCTTTATTTTAATCAATTTATTAATATTAATTTGCATCCTATTATTTAATTTATTATTAAAAAATTAATCTTACATTGTCAGTTTCTGTCTCAGCATAAAATCTTAATTTCACATGGCAGGTGGGGTGTAGAAATAGCACACAGAGATGCAAATAGCTAAAAACATGCAGATTTCTAATTATGAGGAAAATAAATCTGAAACCTTTTTATACAATTTTCCCCCAAGAAATGTTCCTGGTAACAAACGTTACAATCACATTGTTCACCAAAAATATTAATAAAGATCCATCACCCCAAATGTATAAGGGTAGATTTTCAATTCGATCGCGAAAACTAACATAACCACGACCTTACTAACATTAAAAAAAAACAAAAAAAAACTAGATTGCGAATGGCCGCAAACTAATTCAATGACTACATTGAAGATAGATGTTAAAAAAAAGATAGAAGCAAAAGCTAGATGCAGCTTCATCTTTGATCACCTTTTCTTCTAGTAGAGGCAATGTAATGAAACAAGGTTTGTCTGTGTTTATGATCTGAGCATGATTGATGTTAGGGAGCGAAAAACAACTTCATGGCAAGGAATTGTGAGGCCCGTGTGATGATCGAAGCCGAATTCTTCTTCGGCTTGTCGAAGTAGGGATTGAAACTGAGGGTGAGTGAGGACTGTGATTGGTACAATGTACCTGCTTCTGTTTTCTCCGACGTAAACTGCGAAATGACCTTTTGGTACATCAAGAGGAAGATCTTGAACATCATCATCATCTTGATCGTTGCCGTTTTTCTTGGTTAGGCTTGAACATCTTTTTAGGATTTGTTTGAGAACTGTCTTTTGAGAGAGTTTGCTTGGTTTTGTTCTAATGGCCATTTTCAAAGAAAGAGTGAGTGAAAGATAAAGAAGTAGAGAGCTAGTAGTGGTGGTGGAAGTGATGATGGGTGTGACGGTTGGTATTTATGAAGAGAGAAAGAGAGAGAGAACTTACTTGTTTTTATTGATCATGAGGAGTGTGTGTGGGGGCAAAGGAGAGCCCACGGGTGTTTTGGGGTGTGTGTAAGCAGTAAGGACATGTGTGGTGGTGGGAACAAACCCCACTTGCATCTCTCTTCTATGTTGGTCTTCTCTATGGCACCAATAACATGGATGAATCTAATATTACATTGTTAACTATTTTAACTCATCTCTTATCTTGGAAGTAATTCATATTTAGAAATTATTGATTAGAATTAGAATTTTCTAATGTTGTTACTCAGAAGTAGTGTTGCGTTAAAAAATTGTAGAGTTTTTGAGATTACGTCTAAAAATATGTTTAGCACAGCTTCTGGGTTCTGAGTTTGTTAGCGTAGACGTTTAGTATTTCTTAGTTTGTACATTTTAACTTAGTCATTAAATTTACTTTTTATTAGGGCCTACGTGGCAATTTACTTTGTGTATAAATAGACTAGTAGTAGCTGTCATTTGTAACAGTAACAGTAACAATGACAACAATCATTGTTCAATCATTCTTCATTACAACTTTATAGCCGTCATTGTAGAGCTTTAATATTATTCTCTCTTACATTTTCTTCGTTTATTAACCTTGTGCATCAATAAATTGGCATCTAGAGCTCTGGTTCTGACCCATAGGGAAACACATGGAAACATGAGTGGAACGTGAGCATTTGTGTGATTGATTTTGGTTCTAGGTTCGTGTTGAATCGTTGAACAAAATTGTAACAAAATCATATTTTCTGATTCTGTGAGATTGGAAAATAATGTGCTTGTGAGATCTGAGTATTTTGTACAAGGTTCAAGATGACTGGAAATGGTAGTCTAAGCACCAAGCTTCAAGTATTTAATGGTAAAAACTGGAATCGTTGGATGATTCAGATGCATGTGATGTTTGGCGCTCAGGATGTTCTTGAGATTGTTACAAATGATTATGTTCCAGTTGCAACAGATGCGACAAAGGAACAGAGAAATGCGCATAGAGATACAAGGAAGAAAGATCATGCATTGTTCTTCATCCATCAGTGTGTGGATGAGAACGTGTTTGAGAAAATTGTTGATTCGACGATGATGAAGGTTGCATGGGACACACTGAGTAGGTGTTACGGTGGTGACGCATCATTGAAGAAGGTGAAGTTTCAGTCCCTATGAAAGCAATATGAGAATCTCAACATGAAGGATAACGAGAAGCTTTATGAGTACATCTCTAGAGTGATTGTGATCACTAATGAGATGAAAGCTTGTGGAGGAACCCTTTTTGAACAATTAATCATTGAGAAGATATTGAGGTCTCTTACTCCTTAATTTGATTACATTGTTGTAGCAATTGAACATTCTAAAGATCTGGACACTATGAGAATAGAAGAGCTACAAAGCAGTCTAGAGGCGCAGGAGTTGCGTCTGACTGAAAGAACTTTTGAGAGGGAGGTTGAGTGGACTCTGAAAGCTTCTTTTATCAAGAAGGACCAGAAGCAGAAAAAATATGGCAGGTCTCAGAAGTCAGAAGTCTTCTACTCTGATGAGAAGAAACATCAGAAGGGAAATGAGAAGTATGACAAGAGAATGGTTAATGTTATTATTGTAATAGGTTTGCTCACATTGTTAAAGATTGTTGGTCAAGCAAAGAAAAAGCAAAAATAGCCAGAGGAGATTTCGATGATGAACCTGTGCTATTAATGGTTTATGAATCTGATGAGGAACATGTGAGATTGTCATTTTCTGATTCTAAAGGGGAAGAAGATGACTCTGAATATTTTGACTCTGAATGAGTGTTTGAATGTGAGTCAGAATCAGAAGATGACGCTGAAGATTTTGAAGATAAGTCAGAATATGAGGTTCCTGAAGATGAGTCAGAGTTAGAAGATGACTCTGAAGCTGAAGACAAGTCAGAATCTGAAGGTTATTCTGAGTATGAAGAAGAATCAGAAGATGAGTCAGAATCTGAAGTAGATTCTACTTCTGAAGATAAGTTCAAAACTAGAAAGTTCTGAAGGTGAGTCAGAGTTAGAAGATGAAGAATCTTTCGGAGACTCTAAAGATGAGTTATATGGTGAATCTGATTCTGATCCAGATGTTGATGATAATCCAAAATCTGGTGGTGATCATGCTTCTAGAAGGAAAAACTCTGAAGAAATAGGTTATGGAGATGATCATGTTTCTGGTGGTAATCATGACTTTGAAGGTGGACCTTCTGAAGGAGGAGCTTCTGAAGGTAGTCTGGCCTCTGATGAAGGTCATGATTCTAAATGTAGAACTTCTGAAGGCAGAGCTTCTGAAGGCGGTCCAATTTCTGAAGGTGGTATTTCTGAAGGTAGTGGTTTTGGAGGAGGTCTATAAGCTAACAAAGGTGGAGCTTCTGGTGGTAGTCAAACTTCTGAAGAAAGTCCAGAAGGAGATATTGTTCCAGAATCAAAAGGAGATTTTGAACAAGTCTAGAGGCCAAAATGAATTAGAAATATACCAAGAAGGTTTGAGAGAGTTTGGAAAACTGCAAGATACTGAAGGGACTCTGAGGTATGGAGTGTCGTTCTATTCTGATGTTAGAACAAAATCAAAGCTGATATGCTATTCAGACTCTGATTGGTATGAAGAAAGAGTTGACAAAATAAATAATTCTGGATATTTTCTCAAATATCTGGGAAGTCCTATTTCTTGATGTTTCAAGAAACAACTGGTGGTTGCATTGTCAACCTGTGAAGCTATCGAGAAGAAAGTGTGATTGAATGCCATGAAAGAAGAAGTTTAGACTTTAGAAAGAAACAAGATTTGGGAGTTAACTGAGCTTCCAAAGGAGAAGAAAGCCATCAGCATTAGTTGAGCTTTCAAGCTGAAATCTGTTTTTCTGAATGGGATTGCACATTGTAGAAACCAGAAGCAACTTGCAGATGTTCTGACGAAGGATGTCAAGACTGAACACTTTATCCATTTGAGAGATGGAATTGGTGTTAAAGTTGTTTTTGGATAGCTGAATATGAATTAAGGGATGATGTTGGAAGTAATTCATATTCAGAAGCTGTTTATTAGAATCAGAAGCTTCTGATGTTGTTACCCTAAAGCAGTGTTGCACTCAAAAATAGTAGAATTTCTGAGGTTACGTATGTTCATCTCAGCTTCTGGGTTTTGAGTTTGTTAGCGTAGCTGTTAAGTTTAGTATTTCCTGGTTTGTACCTTTTAACTTAGTCATTAAGTTTACCTTTTATTAGGGCATACATGACAATTTACTTTGTGTATAAATAGACTAGTAGTAGCTGTCATTTGTAACAACAATCATTGTTCAATCAATCTTCCTTACAACTTTATAGCCGTTATTGCAGAACTTTAATATTATTTTCTCTTACCTTTTATTCATTTATTAACCTTGTGCACCAACACCTCACAATCATATTTTCTATGTTTTAATACGACATTAAAGTTTATATCTACATCAATCAATGTATTTATAATCCCTCGTTGGGGCATTTTTAATAGCGAAAATTTATTTTGAAATGAATGTTATTTTAACTTCTTAATAAAAATATTAGATTAAGACGGATGATATGAGTTTTTTAAATAGTATTATAAAATATAAATATTAATTTTGTTTATTATAATTTTTTTTATAATTGAAGGGATAAAATTAATGAAGATGGTAAAAAGGGAGACTAAATGCAAATAAAATATAGAATTTTAATTTTAAAATCTGAAAAATAAGTGTAAAAATTTTCAAATTTTTTTATATTTTCATTTTTTTTCAACATGTTTGTTTTTTATTATTTCATGGATCAAATATGATCCATATTCAATAAATTCAAACTATATAACCATTCATGATGGTTAGCATTAAAATCTTAGATGAAACTCTCTATTTAAATTTGTAATTTAGAAAGGTAGTGAGTAGGGATGAGAATAGGTCCGACTTATAAAGCTTTTTATCTTAGTCTATTTAAGATTAGCATAAACCATGTCTATTCAATAAAAAGATTAAGCTTAAATTTTTAAAATTTTTTTTAATTAAATAGATCAGGTTTAGACTATTAAAATAGTCTATGAAACTTTATATATATATATATATATATATATATATATATATATATATATATATATATATATATATATATATATATATATATATATATATATATATATATATATATATATATATATATATATATATATATATATATATATATATATATATATATATATATATATATATATATATATATATATATATATATATATATATATATATATATATATATATATATATATATATATATATATATATATATATATAGTTGATCTATATATATATATCAACCTTGTGCTATATATATATATAGTTGATCTATATATATATATCAACCTTGTACTATATATAAGGCTAAATAGTTGATCTATATATGCATATATATTAGAAAAAAGACTAAATAGCTCGGTATAAATATGTATATATAAGTTGGTTTATAAAACTTCTTAAATAATATGAATTAATTGAAAATATTAATAAGAAATAAACTTTTAAATAGATTTTTAGACCGGACTAAAATTTTAAAAAGACCAGGTCAAACTCAAAAAAATAATTTATAATAGATTATAGGTCAGGTTCAAACTTTTAAATTTATTATAGGTCGGGTCTAACCTATTTTCATCCATAATAGTGAATATGATTGTAAAATTAATCTTTATGGATTGAACGATGATTTGAGTATTTAAATATTTTCAATGTTATTGTTATGTTACATGTTTGTATTTTACTATACCATTAATTTGCAACTTTACAATTGATTTGGTTCAATTGATTTAGTCAGTCAATTTTAATATTTACAATTTAAAATTATTATAGGACATTTTTATGGTTTACTTTTATAGTAATTATATACATTTATAATTCAAAATAGTATTTTAAAAATAATTTGAAGCATTTTTTGATCTATTTTAAAACTATAAGTAAAATATGAAAGAATTGTTTGATATTTTTAGCATTGTAATGAGTTTAGTATTTAAAGTTAAATTTTGTAACATTTAATCACATTTATATTTAAAAATGATATTTTAAAAATAATGTTAAGATATTTATTTGTCTATTTAAAGGTATTGTTTGAACCTTTTATTTTAAACATCATAATATGATT